CTTTGTAAATATTATATATTATATTTCAACATATTTAATTTCTATGTTTACTATTTTAATTAACTGCAACAGGATGAAAAAATGGTCTAAGGAAGAAGAGTTTCGATTTATTTTTATTTTTAGTTTACTTATATTGTACAAAAAATTAAGAAGAATTTACAAGTATCACAGTAGGAGAATATCAAACCATCTAAGTAGAATTTGCAGACTTTAAATAAAAGCTGTAGATTAAATAGAATCAAACGAGGCTGCTGCAGGCTTTAGAGTATCTAAGTAGACTTTACATGGAATATTGCGGTCGAAAGTAGAGCTATAATTTCATCTAGGGACGTTAAATAGAATCAAACGAGGTTCATATAGGCTTCAGAGTATCAAAGTAAGCGTTAAATGGAATTTTGTGGTCGAAAGTAGGATCAAAATTTCGACTCGGATTATATTCTCCGTCCATCACGGTGTCTATCCGGGGAAAATCAAGGGGATAGGAAGAATCTCCCAGGATATCCCAGGATTTATCTCCGTTGCGCGTAATACGAATGTGAAAATAATTTAGGATACAAACATAAAAAAAAAACAAATACGACGGGATACGAAGAAACGTGGACGTTACTTCCCGACGGAGCGCGAGTTTCGACCGCGTCGATCGCGCTTACCACCTGATGATCGCGCGCGGCGGTAATCTCAAACGATTATCAGTCCGAAAGCGTCGGTAGCAGCAGTCTTCGCTCCTTCACCGCCGCATCTCCCCCTTCTTCCTCCTTTTCTTTTTCTTTCGCGAGCCATTACACCAGACCGGATATCCACTCGAAGAGGATCTCGGCGGAGCTCTTTCCGGAACACAATTAAAGCCCGGAAACGCGAGATCCATCCCCTACGATGCTGCAAGCTCGAGGGCGAGGGGAGAGAGTGAGAGAAAGAGAGAAAGAGAGGCCGATGATGCAGCGCGCGGGTGGGCGAGAGGGAGGGGGAGTAATGGTACAACGCCGGGGGGTGGGAGAGGGCGGGAGGTAACTGACCCGAGTTTTCTCGACCCCTTAAATTTCGGCTGATACCACTTGTTGGCGGTCCACGCGAGCAACAGATGACACTACGTTTTCATTCGCCGGAAAACCGAATGCATTCTCCGTTATCTCTTTCCCTCGCCGCCCGCCGCTGCCCGTCGTAGTTCGTGCCTGTCGCGCCAATCGTACATCGGATATGAATCGGAACGAGTTTTGTCTCAGGCACCAGGTATTCGCGTGATGAAATGCCAAATGAGGTATTAAATAGGCTGATTAAATGCGCAGATTAAATCGCCCGTTGAGTCGCTCTCCTGCGATCGGAGCGAGAATGATTTCGAACTCGCGGAAATAGCGTGCGTCTGATTTTTCTTCTTCTTCTGTTCTAAGTATCGTCGATTGTTGCACTGACGCATCACGGACCGTACATATACATTTTTGCGCGCTTCAGCGAACTAAAGATGAAGCTCTTTTTTACCCTTTCGACCCGTTTTCGCATTCCACTTGGTCTTGGAGAGTGCTAAAGAAATAATTAGCGATCCGTAGTGGGTTAATTGGTCAATCATGAGTCGATCGTGCGTTGATGGTCTATGATTGTGTGATACTTTAGAATGTTTCTACACGACGTTACGCGTTTGTTACTACAGAGGAGAATATGGTATTATCGCTCTTGTAAGTATTGCAGCCCCTTTTAATATCCTCCACTGCATTGTAGCCTCTGTTAATATCTCCGCTATTAGGTAGCGAATTCTAGTAATTACTTATGGAATCATTTATTTAGCAGCCCGTTGCTACGTAACGACGCTAATATGCCGACACACAACAGCCGACATTTGTTATCACGCTTTTGAGCGTTTCGGAACGTTTTCAAGGTACATTTTAGCGCTTAATTATACATATTTTCTCACTCTTTTTAAACTCGAGCGTATTATCACACGAATATATGTAGATTTTGTTTTGTCCGTTTTACTGAACATTTTACTCGGCTGTACACATGTCGAGTTATGCAAAGTTAAACAATATAGCATGGCATTTTGTGGCTCCGTAAGAGCGCTGATGATATTTATCGAGATTTTTTCACGTCGGAAATGTACACAATGTACAAAATGTAAATAGAAGCCCAATACCACCTTTTCCTCTAATAAAAGATACATCACATTGACCATCAACAAGAGGCGTCCGATGGTCTTTTGTTTCTCTCGCTTTCGGAATAACACGCGGCATATACACTAATTGATTTAGCATTAATAGGTAGCGCAATTGGATCATTAGTGTTTAATAACCGCACGCGTCTCCAATGCGAAGCTATCACAGACAGATTATACCGACTCTCACCTTCGAACAGTCAATAAGCGATAAATCGATAATGCGTACGGCTAGGGAAAATCCTAACGGCCTAGTTGCATCGCGTGTAACTAATTCCGGTCAGTTCTTTCGCCGGCAACTTCCGATTAGAGTTCACGATGCGGTTTTCCGCGAGGCCGCGGTCGAGATCGCACGTCACTCTCTCGGGTAATTTTCCGCCCTTTCATACTTTCGCTCTCTCAACTCTCCCGCCGTCCTTACTCTATTTTCTCCACCGCCGTGTATATTCCGCCGCGAAAACTACCCGTCTACTGTTCGAACGCGCGAATCGAGGCTTGCGGTCGCTTCGATTCGCTCGCCCCTCGGGAGGCTTTCCCTTATTTCCTCCGGTGCGCCCGGATTTTTGCGCACGCATACCTTATCTCATCCACGACCCGAACGGTTCCGATTTACCTCGGAGGCGGCTAATTAAAGGACTCTCGGCGAGAGTCATAGAGCGGCGGTTACCGGCGACTGTTCTCGTACCTTCTGAATATTCAGCGGCAAAGTTCCCAACAGCGGGTAATTATAACGACGTTATCGTTACTCGCCGTTGAGATACAACGAGAGGCGAATTAATACCGCCGAATTACCGCGACGTTTCGTAATTCCGAAATTGCTTGTCGTGCTTACCCATTCGCTAAAATCGCAAATGGCACAGGTGGACGGAAGACCGTCGGTTTAACGTGAGAGGCGAGCAGCTCGCTGATGTAACGCTGAGTCTCAAAGGCCGGCGGAAAGTCGGCCCTCACAACGGAGAACGACATCTCGACGCTTCGCTACGACACGAACGGCTGATCCTTGACTGATTCAATCGGCGGCTCTCAGAGAGATTAATTTCCCTCTGATTCCACGCTCGGTGATAAATTGTCAAGATTTTCGCCGACACGTAGGAAGTCCCGAGTGGGCCCCGCTGGGCAGCGTTTAAGTTGAGGTTTAACTTCATTGACGTGACGCTACAATCAATAATAATTACAATAGCCAGCGAAAGAGGGAGGGATAGAGATAGAGAGAGAGGTTACTGACTGAATAATCAGATTAGAACAATTTCACCCTCGGATTCGTAAGGCACCGTTGCTCCGGAGATTGAGCAAGCCGGAGAGTATTGGATATCGCGCGCAGCGCGCGAATTCTCTAATTCGCCTCGGCCTCGAAACTAATTATCACGGTAGTTATTATCGCATCGAAACAATTCACTGATGTGTATTATGATTATCCGCCTCGTTAGCGGTGAATTAATAATTGAGCGGTCGACCTCGTCTGGCGCGGATTACGTTCAATGAGAGATAAGCGCACAATACCCGATCTTGCGCGATCTCGCTGCGAGACACCGGGGCGCGTCTTCCCCGTGGTGTGGCGCATAGCAAAACGATAAATGCCGATAGCTGAAACATAAAGGCGAAGCTCGCTGCTGAGTCCGCTAAGTCAGCTAAAAACGATGGAAGTTGCGCCCCGCGAATAATTGAAGAAAGGAAAAAAAGAAACGAAATAATCGGAAGATTTCATTAATCCGGCCAAAGTGAGAAGCAAAGACGGAAAAGCGATGAGACTGTGGAATCGTCTCGTTCGACGTTTATCGCGAGTGCGATTCGTCGTCGTTGACGAGCAAGGTGATTGCGATTTAAGGAAAACACATGAACATTTGCTATAGAATGAGATAGATATAGAAAGAGAGGAAAGAAGGGAGGAGGAGGAGAGATATCGCACGCTCGAGGGAGGAATTAATGCGGAATTATCAAAGTGTACTTTCCGCTTGAATTTCATTCACGGAGAGACGGTGTCCGACACACCGTGAATTCGGCCGGGCGGCCGCGCGGGTCGTAAGTTTAAATGGAATTTACAGATATGCCAATTTAGCCTAATATCAGGCGTATTGTGGTTTAGTCAATAGAACCAGGGCTATTACAACCGTACGATGTTCAGCTCCGTGGATCGGCCCTACATGAGGGATGCGCATACACGGACATCCGTTGGACTCCACGTCCGTTAGTCTCAATAGAATATCACCGAGAGATGATGGCGTACCGTATACACCTATACGGCGGGCAGGTATTACGTCGGGGGGCCCAAAATTGCAAACCGGATTCCGTCAGATCAAATTACCCGCCGGACACTTGCCTGAAAACGACTCGTTCGAGCGACACTCGGTGTATATAAACGGCATAATCGTCGTGACAATACCAACATTCGCACAGGATACTCACATATTTTTATATATTTCTTTCTATTATATACTTCAGGGCTCGAATCAAACGCGATACGGCGGGAGATACTCGCGAAACGACTCGAACTTAAACTAAAAAATTGAAAGAAAAAAGGGCGGGAATCAAAGAAACCTCTAGCTACGTCCCTGGCAATTACGGGGCAACCTAGAAAGGGACCCGCGGAACCCTGCGAGCCCGCGATAATCTTTCTTCACCGCAAGAGAGATATCTCGGCATCGCGAATAATTATTTTTAACCGAGGCGAACGCCGCGCGCGCACGTACACACAAGAAGGACACGCGGGAAAGGGCGGGAGGTGTACGAAGTGTGTTAAAGAGGATCGAAAGCCCACGCTTGAAGTAGGTCAGTAACGCTCGACGTATGTGACTGCTCGCCTGCTTGCTACCCTGCCTGCCTGCCTGCTAGCCTGCCTGCCTATTGGGCTTTTCCCTCGACTGTCTACTCCTGCGGACGTGCTCGTCCTTGATCCCGCGCACCGCGCCAATGGGGGCGAGAATAACGTACGTGGCCTACGAGCATGCGTGTGTGTGTGCGAGCGAACGAGCGAGCGAGTGTGTGCGAGTGACATGCGTGCATCGTCAATCACTGACGTTCCATGACCTCCGCCGCGGAACATCGGCTCTGCACAACCCTATCCCTGTCCCTATATCGCCTTACCGCGGTTTCTCTCTCTCTCTCACATACACACGCACACACATCCTCTCTCTCTCTCTTCTCTCGCCGATGTGCACCCTGCCGGTCGGTGTGCGCGCGCGTTCAGCACACCTCTCTCGGTGCTGCTCTGCACGACATGCGTGCACCGTTGCGATGTCGGTGTGGAGAGAGAGAGAGAGAGAGAGAGCGTCTGCCCCGGCGCGCTGCAATCAATACCAACTGATGCATTTGTGCCCGTAGCTTTCGTGCCTGGCTGCGCGCAGTGCCCGCGATCCGGGGTGCACTGGGTATATACTTTCGAGACGCGATAACGCGCTCTCGGGAATGGGTTTCTTATAAATTGAGAACGCGGCCGGATTAACGATTCCCGGGCGCGGAAAAGGGTATTTCGAGCCGACGGGATCCCGCGGATTGGCGGCGCGGACCGGCCGCGGATCGATGCCGCGCGATCTCCTCAATCGCTCCGGCGCAACATTTAAAATTGTCGCCGACGCGATGGAACGGGAGAGTTTTCACCGGCGTTATGAATAAGTTCGAGGCGACTTGTTCGAGAATAATGATCTGCTGCGACACACGCGCACACGCACGCGTACACGTGTATGTACGCGCGAGCTTCTGTTTTATAAGTTATTAGATTTAGATTAGATAGTTTTATTAGATTCAACGCAGTCCGGTTATGTCTCGTCGCAGACGAGACGATTAAAATGAACGTCGACCGATAGCAAGAATTTTATTCGTCGCGAATTGAAGCAGCAAATTTTGGCAAAATCGCAAATTGACCTCTCACTGCTCGACGGACAAACTGAAAATATCCGAGGCGAGATGTCGGGTCGCGTCGAGCTTGCAATTTTCATCGAGGCTCGAATCGGAGAATGGAAATTGGGGATCGAGCATGTAGAATCGCGGAATATAACGGTGTGTTAAAACTATGGTCTTACCTTGGTGTGCTTGTAAATAGCTGCTTATGACTATCGAATGAGTCGCTAGAATTATTTTACCAACTGGTTATGAAAACACGATAATCTTCAATTTTCTCGACTCGAGTGTCCCCTCGTTCTTGATAAATTTGTGAAATGTTCGTTAAAAGTGGGAAACTCGTCGTACGATAAATGATGTCATTCATTTGAAAATATACGATGCATCGTTGATCATGTTTCGATGTCCTGCGTCTTCTGTCATGACTCCCAGATCCAACATCCTCGCTGCTTCGTCCTCCGGCACTCCGGATACTCCCTCATGGCGTTGACACCGACATTGTCACTAACATTCTCGCGTAGACACGATAATTTGATCGAAGAAACGCAAATGTTAATTAGATTTATGATTATGAAATACCTTCAAAGGTCGACGAAATCTCTTGGTCACCCGTAGCGAGAATTCGAACTATTAACTCACCGACACGCGTGCTCCGAGTCGCGCTGTATGCGTCGCTAATTACATAATGACTAGGTCGCAGGAAGGACATGCGAAGCGTGGCAATACCAAAACAATGGGCAAAAAGGGCTGCGTCATGGCCCATGGTCGATCACCATCCGTCAGACAATAATCAATACTCTCGAAACATTCCGGATCTTCAAGATGATCAAATCTATCCTTGTCTGCCGTCAGAAACACTCGGAAAACCCGAATCGAAATTTTAGTTCCGTTTTAAACCTAATTTAGTCTTACATTAAGCGTTCAGAGCTCTTCTATACAGAGGAAAAGATTTCTTTAGATTTAGTATCTCTACTTATTTGGCTAAAATTTGCTCCATAGAAACAAAATACGAAAAATTATTCGGGTAAAAATTTCATTGTCTCATTCGGGAAAACTCTATTATTTAACGGAGAGAACGCTATTATTCGAAATAATACCTTTTAACCAAACAAAATATTATTTGGTTACGATAAATATGTAAAATGAAACAAATAATTTCTTTATGAGAAAATTATCTTTCGTTTCAAGCAAATTTTTTTATTTAAGATAAAGATACGTATTCGTTGAAAAGTCTAACAATCGTACTTATTAATCGAAACATTAGTTTCTTTAGAGCATGCCAATGATAACATTTATTTGAATGGGATAAAATTGATTAAATTTGAAGAAATCTTTTCTCAGTGTACTGTCTCCTTCGATGCTGCCAAATGGGGAAGTTATTGCCGTTTTCTTCGTTTTTGGAGACTTAATATAGAACTGAAATTTAGACTTTGCAGAATTAAATTCTCTTTGCAAGTTTCCTTTGTATTAAAACGAGCACTTATTGTGCTCTTTTGATGCTAAGCAGGAACTTATTTCCGTTTTGTAACGTTAAAGGAACACAATAGTGTATATAACGTTATATCTGCAGATCCTTCAATAGACCTGCCTAAAGTGCTGTATTTGCAGGTTTAATGTAGAACTAAAATTTCGACTCGGGGTGTGTTGGTGCGTTAGTTATCATCTCCCGCTGGGTGATGAAAATATTTCGCCAGCTCTTGAAATATTTAATCAGACTCTCGTCGGCGTCGTGTTCATTAACACGCGTTTCTCCGATTGTACATACGGGAGTGTCAGTGTCAGTGCCACGAATGAGTGCCCGGAGTGCCAACGAGGGACGTCAGAATGCAGTATAGAAACGCAGGACGTAGGCAGCGATGCATTATACAATGTATATTTCCAGGTGTGTAAAATCGTTATATATACAGGAGGATTTCTGAATTTGATTGACGCTCGACGGATTCACCGTAAATATGGAGATATCCAAATCTAAATTTAAGCCGGCGTTCGTACGTCATCATTTGACAAATTATATATAACTTGATAATTATAGTTTCATGAATCTCAGAGAAATGTCAGCCTTTGCTTCTATTTACCTCGTGCAGCAAGAAATATCAAGCCAAACAGCAGATTAACGGTACGCGAATACGAATCTGTAACAAATTACTTTTACCGAAATATTTCACCGCTTTTAGCCTGGGAAAATTGTTAGTTTGAGCGGTGGAAGCGGTACAATCGGCTGAATATGACTCCGATTTTAGAACGGAAAGGAAACTTTTCCATAACAACGAGTGGTTTATAGCGGATTGCATACGAGTATATATTCGAATGGCATTAACGTACTACTGATTATTTTTAAGTAGCAATAACATGCAATGCTATATATATAAATTAAAACGCTCACGAGCACTCACATTGCACATTTCGAAATGACAATGGAGTAAAAAGGGAACGTATTAACGTGCTGTCACTCATCAGATGGAAAACCCGAAGGATAACGAAGACGAGCGATCCCTTCAAAGATACTCACGCATACTCGCATATTCGTCATATTCCTCCGCTTGATAGACACTTCGCGTAGGTTTGAGAGTGCGAGAAAACGGGCATAAGAATGATGAGAGAGAACCGGTTAAAAATTCATGAAACTATAATTACCAAGTTATATATAATTTGTCAAATGATGACGTATGAACGCCGACTTAAATTTAGACTTGGATATCTCCATATTTACGGTGAATCCGTCGAGCGTCAATCAAAAAAACGGGAAGCCACACGAGGAGTGTGAAAATGGTGAAATTTGTTTGCAAGGGAAGTGAAAAACGCGAGAGTACAACGCCGACGGACGTCGGAAGTCCACTAGTTTCTCGCACGTTTTAATAATAACACGCGGATGCAAGAGAGCGCGTGCCCACGTAATCGCCACTTATGCTTTTAGCGCGACGACATCGACACGCTATCGACGGCCTTCCTCTCGTTTATACGCGGACCCGCACTCTCTCTCTCTCTCCCTTTCTTTTCCTAGCAATAAAAGAATCCATTGTCCTGCGCGCTACTTACGTACACCCCGGGGCCGCTTCCTGACGGCGGAAGGAAAGAGCGCGCAAGGGTGGACCGATAATGTCGATACCGCGCACCCACGCGGCTTTTCGCGTGTTTCGTGGCCGGGCCGCACGCTGCGCGCTGAGTGCCTCTAAATGCAACCTATTTACTCGGCACCGCCTACAGGATGTCTCGGGGAGAAATGACTGCCGTTCTAACAAGGCGTAATACACACGTTTCCAGAAGATTGTTCCTTTCCGCCATTGCGGTGGAGTCCGAGCTCGCGCCGCGACTCGCCCGAGGAGGCTTTAAGGACGTCTCTTCCTCTCTTTCCGCCATCGTTTCGGCGGTCACGCGCGTTTTACGGTAATGCTCATCGATGCACTTAGCGATCGCCGGCTCGTCATGTTGTTAACGGGCTAAACCCGCGGTCAGTGGCGCTTTTAAGCGAAACCCGGCGAACCAAAGGCGCGTCGAGTTCGGGAAAGGGCAACTTTTTGTCTTTCTTCACCCCCCTCCCCTATTTCTCTTCACATTTAGTGCCGCGAAATTATTATGCCGTGTCGCACCGAGATTTTTAAAAAAATTCTTCACTTTCACAGGAACTTATAGTCCGTCTGATAAGAGCGTGACCGACGTTACTTTCAAACTATTTATTAGAAAAAAATAAAAAAAACTTACGCATGTACTGCACAATCAGTACTACGACGCTTTTATATTAAGAAGTCGTCCAATCATCGCCGTGTCGATCGTTGTCAATTATTGCGGAATGTTAATTTAATAGGTTAATTTTGAGCGACATACACGCAAAATTGTGTACTCATGTAGCTAAAGGGGCTTTTACCTCAGGGATAAATCTTTCTCTCTCTCTCTCTCTCTCTCTCTCTCTCTCGCTGGCTCCCTCGCTTACGTCGATGTGTCCCCGCGTTAATTCGCGAGTTTTCGTCAAGTCGTAAATCCGCTCGCTGGAATCTGTCGGTTTATCTATCTCGGAGTTTTGAGCTCCGCTTAAGGGAAATTAATTAAGAGATAGAAATTACGCGTTACCAACGCGTCCGTTAATAACGTTCGTGGAAATTAATGCGACGCGAGAAGCACCGTTTCCGATACATTAATTATCGCGATATTTATAAGGCCGGTCGGTCTAGTCGCGGCTTTTCCCGCACCTATCGCTACTCCCGCGAGTACCATTGTTTCACCGTCGCTGCCACCGAATAATCCCATAAATTCACCGATTGTAAAAGTGATAAACGAAATCTCGGCGGCGTATCGCGCGGGCGCTCGTCGGCTCGAGAGTTCGGCTGGACGCGGCGCGACGGGACGACAAATTCGCCGACGAATTCTCCCCGAAAATCATCCATCGTCCGTCGACTTTTCAGCCGATAACGGCGACTATCATCCGCTATCGCCGCAGTCTTTCCCGTCGAGTCTTCGAGTCTCCGTCTTGCACGAGTGCGACGCCATCGGGAGACCCGATTCGCGCCGTGAACTCAACGATGATCGGAGAAGCCGATCAATTACAGCGCATTCAGAAAACGAAGCTCCGTCCGAGGCTTCTCTGTAATCTCGCGCGGCATTATCAATGAACGTGGTGATTGACCCATACAGAATCCCAGGGTTACATCAGACAGACAGAGAGAGAGAGAGAGAGATGGGGCGCCACGGAATATTACGTAGATTGCGCCAACCGCCGAGGCCGAAAGTGCACCCTCGTTCGTGGAAGAAACGAAATAACACGTCGCCGCGTCGTCGTATCGCCAGATGAAAAGTCTTTCGCGGTCTCTCTTCTCCGGCCGCGGTTGTGAATCGCGCGATGACTAAGAAGCTCCCGAGGCGACAGCCGGAGGAAGCGAGAGGGCGGTCGGAAAGCACGGAGCCAGAGAGCGAGCGAGCTAACGCGGACGAAGCGGACGCGGGGGTGGGTGGACGGAGAGGGCGCGAGATGGAGAGAGGTCAGAAAATTACAGGCGAGGGTGCATACTATCGTTCGACCGAGTTCACCACCGACGCTGTTTCTTTTCCTCTCTATCGCCCCCCCTCCGGTTCACTCCTCCTCCTCCTCCTCCCCTTTACCTCCCCCTCGTCTCTTCTCTTCTCGCCTGCTTCTCTTCGGGCGCGTCTTGCTCGTATAATCCGTAAATTACTAACCTAACCCCCCCGAGCGTCTTAAAGATCAGGCCTTGTTCGCGGTGGATTCAAAGGAGGTAATACTCGGGGCCAGGATACTTGGCGAGAATCCGCGCCGCGAGAACAGGAAGGAGGAGGAGAAAAAGAAAGAAAGAAAGAGAGACAGAGAGAGAGAGAGAGAAAGAAACTCTCGAAAGAAGGATGAAATACTCACCTACCTAGAGAGAAGTCTCTTCGTCTTCCTCTTTCTTGCCGCGAGCTGTCTACCTTCGGCCACTTGCGTTTCTTGCACTCGCGAGTCCGCGCGCCGTTGCCGTTCGAAATATTCGCCCCCCCCCCC